ACATCTGGTGAAAATTTCATGTCATTAGCACCTCTAGTAAAATATTTACTGAGAAAAATGTTTATGTGTTCAATACTTATTTTACCCGCTGTAATTGTCTAATCTTGCTTTAAGTACATTGTAGACCTGGACCAGGGCATTGTCATAATTATGGTAGAACTAAAAGTTTCTTTCATAAATTTTTGGTCAAGACAAAAAAAGACGCTTCTGTACTTTTGAGGGGAAGGAAACTACTTTTGAGRAGCACTCGCTTATTATGAGACACAAAAGCAGTTGTAGGTAAACATTACTCAGAGGGGGTTTGCACAGTTCGTTTCAAGATTGTCCTCATGAGACTTGAATCAAATGTCTTATTTCTACAAATCTCGTCTTTACTTGTTCCATAGGCAGATTTGTTTGCATATTTCAAGCCAAAAGAATATCTAATTTTTATTTTTATGACTTAGTTTTGGAGTGACCTTTTTCCCATGATAAGATACACAAACATAAATTATCAAGTAAAGTTACTCATTTTAGGGGAATTTTTTCATGTTCTGTTGAGACATGTGAACATACATTTAAAGGTCTAACATTTGAACAGTGTTGTATAAAGTACCTCGAAGTGGTACTTGAGTAAAAGTACAAGTATCTTATAAAATTACTTTGGCAAAAGTTAGTCTCCTCTAAGAATATTACTTGAGTAAAAGTCTCAATCTGATTTTTTTTTGTACTCAAGTATCAAAAGTAAGTTTCCGATGTAAAAAAGTATTAAAAGTAAAAGTACTGAGTAGAAATGAAGGGTTATATTTTCCAAAATGACATTTATTGGSAGGTGACTTCTCCAAAAAACTTTTACAAAGGCGCACAGCTGTGATGACTGTGTACAAACTAAATATTGTGTAAGATTGGTATATATTTGTACTTCTCATCCAACCACAATTAAATTCACTCTATCCAGGAGGCACAGTTTATCAGGATAGTATTTTTATAAACAATAATGATCCGGAATGAAACAGTAACGACTTTCTACTTCTTACCTTTTTAAAAAAAAATGTAAAGGAGTAGAAGTAATAAGTAGGCTGAAAAATATTTACTCAAGTAAAATAGCCTACAGATACCCAAAAGTTCTGCTTAAGTACAATAACAAAGTTAGTTACTTTACAACTGAGATGTGGTAGTGCTCAGCTGACTCTCCTCTCTGCTTCTCCTGCACCAAGTCTTGTCTCAGCATCTGRAAAACTGACCGAGTTACAGCCATGTTTGTGTCAATGAGCTGTGGCAGACCTGTTGAATCGGCTCAACCCTGAGTTGTAGATGCACATTTACAGTTTATTTAATGATAGTTTAATGGCAAAGTTTGAAGCTAAGATGTTGCACAATGTATACAGTAATATGAGTTGGGGATGATGCTCAGCTATACCATGCCAAATTTTAGCTCAATTTGTACAACTGGCTCAACTACTGCAATCTTTGAGTTGGCTGCAGCTAGAAGTATAAAGTAGCTATAAGTACAAATACTTTGCTACTGTACTTAAGTAGTACTTTAAAGGGGCTATATCAAGTAAAATCAATTTTTTTGAGTTGTATCATGTTATAATGTTATCCTCTCATCAAAAACATGCCCAGAGTCTTGCTTTGACTCATTCATGCATGTTTGAGAAATCCTGTGTTGTCCCGAGGCAGCAGGCAGGGGAACAAAAACGACCCGTTGGGACTAGAACCGCCTTTTAGGATCAGCTCCTCCTCTGGGCCGTGTCTCTAAGCCAAGCTTCCTCATCACAGAGCACATCTCCCCACCCCCCGCACCCCACCTGTGACTRCTGCAGGCTCTAGGCAGCAACAAAGCAAACAACTGGTGAAACTGAAAGTGAAACTGAAAGTATCTGCTGAGCTCCCAGTACTACTTCTCAGTGCAGCCCTTTTCAATTTCAAAATACATTTGAGAAAATGTATTTTAAGATGCCAAGTAAACACTGAGCTTCCATATCACAGTACACCCCCCCCTCCTCCCACCTAGTGTTGAAACGGGCGGGACAGAAGCAGAAGGAGGTTCTTAAATAGAGAGAGGCCAATTTGAAGGTGTTTAGAAATGGAAATGAGAAGAGTTTATTTTTTATTTAAACATAAACAGCATTTCAATAACAACTAAAGTTGACAGATTTTGTTATGTTATAGAACTTAAATATATGCCTAAAAAACACATTATATTGCCTCATTAAGTATTTCAAGTAGGGCTGGGTGATATGGCCCCAAACAAAAATCTCCGACTTTTTTCATCTCAAATTCGATTTTAATCGATTTTGCTTCCCACTTAACAGAGTGCCTCTGTTTCAGGTGTCAAAACAAATTTGTTGTACTCCTGCTTTTTGTAGCAAAAGCCTTCAAACAGATTTCGCAGTGAGGTGTTCGTTGCTCCAAGTCCGAGGCTGCAAAACCAAACCAGTTCCAGATAACTGAACAAACCATGCCTTTTTTTGAGAAGTAAATCCTCTTTMCTAGCTGCCATATTGTCATGTTGTGTACCAAGCATKTTGAGGGACAGGTGGGGTGACCTCTGAACTAGAAGCCTCAGAGAGCACTGGTGAGAAAAAAACCTAAATTTTCCCAAAATTAAATRTTTATAAATGGCAAATTRGAATTAATCYATAGCCCTAATTTCAAGAAATATTCTTAGAGGAGACTAACTTTTACCAAAGTATTTTTATGGTAAAATACGTGTAGTTTTACCTAAGCATCACTTGGAGGTATTTTATACAACACCGGCTGCAGCAACCACTGAGTTTCAGCAGTTCATGCAATATTTTGCTAACAGACAAGCACACATGCAGTACACATTGACAGCAGGTATTAATTTTCCTACATAGATAAAGAGAAGTCTTAACCTTTGGCAAACCTCATTTCAGTCCMCAGTGTCCCTTTGTTCTTCAGCGTCGACAGGTAATCAGGTTTGTTTCGTTCAACGGTGATGTCCAGGTGACTTATTTGAGTCAGCGCAAAGGTGCACCGTACAGTCAGCCTGAAAAAAAAAAGAAACCTTAAAGTATTTACATCAAAACGTAACCTAACTGACTCATTTAATTCAGCTTACTGGAACGGAGTTTGACGGAAAATGACTCCTTTCAGGGAATGTGGTTTAATGTTGATGTTGATCCAGTAGGTGATGTTCCCGTCTGCAATCTGAAAATTGAAGTCACTTCATTTAAACCTCTAAATCAGGGGTGGGCAGTCATGGTCRTCGAGGGCCGCAGCCCTACARGTTTCACATGTTTCCCTGCTCCAACACACCTGATTCAGTCACTGAACTAGCTCTTCCAAGTTCTGCTGTATGGAGGACTGAAACTGACATAATTAGAAATAAAAGCAGAAATAGATAAATGAACTGTTACATAAATAAATACATTTAAAATGCACCAACTGAATTAAAACGGAGAAATTTACCTCATGTTTTATCATTTAATTGGCCTTCATATTTATTTTTCCAGCTTACTTCAAATAAATTATATATTTTAACGTGTGATTTAAATTTGTAATGTATATTTTACATAGTTTTAACTTGTACATGCATTTGTGTCTTATGAATGCTTAAATTGAATTATTTTTATAATTTTTTCCAAGTCTTTTTATTTTGATGTGTTGCGTGCTTGTGCTGCTGCAGTTTAGCTTAAAGTTTAGTTAAAAATAAATGCACAAGTAATGTTTTACTCTTTGCTTTTGTTTTAAACTAAACTTTAAGCTAAACCGAGTCAGCACAAGCATGCAACACATGGAAATAAAGATTTGTTGGAAAAAAAATATGAAATTATTTAAGTACAAATGTATGACACACAAATGCATATACAAATAAAGGAAAAACAATTAATATATTAAAAAAAACAGTAAAATTTTAAGTATGTGTTCAAACATATAGACTAATTCTGTGGAACTAACCTGGAAAAATAAATATGAAAGTCACTAAAATACAAAACAGGAGATAAAGTTCTCCTTTTTTAATTTAACTGGTGCATTTTAAGTGTATTTATTTAGTGGTTCATATAATTCTGCTTTGATTTCAAATTATGTCAGTTTTGGTCCTCCGTACTGCAGAAGCCTGCTAATTATTTATTCATTCACATCAGGTGTTTGGAGCAGAGAAACAAGTAAAACATGCAGGGCTGCGGCCCTCGAGGACCAGGACTGTCCATGCCTGGTTTAAAATATCAAAGTTGTTGGAAAGTGGTTTGTGTTTACCATGAACTGAGTGCCACAGTCAGTGTATGGGAAGCTGAAAGTGACGGCGTCTTTGGATCTCTTTTGGGGGAAACAACGGCGGTTTTGGTCCGATGTGACCCAGACTGTATCCAGGTTCAGAGGCAGGGCAGCAGCGTTCCTGGGGATGGTTATGTTGAAGCCATTTTTGTTGCAGAAATACTGCCTCGACTCTCTCGGAAAGTAAAACGTGCTTGGCTCTGCGAATAGTAAACCAAAGTTTAAAGAACACTCACTGCCTTTCATGCAACAGATTCAAACTAAGATCATCTTTTCCTGAGAAACGATGGCATTCTTAACATTTTGGTAAAAAAAAAAAAACCTTTAAAATTACTTGATACACAGCTTCAGCCTCTCTTTCAGCTGAGATCACATCAAATTTTAGCTTAATTTCTATAAAATTTACTGAGTTATAGTATTTTTTAAATTTTTTAAGATCATTGGGCTGTGACAGCCATCATAAATTGTGTCAACTCCAAAAAAGATAATCAGTTTTAAAGTTAGATCCAACAATGTTTACTGGAAAGTTTCATGCAAATCTGTGTTGTGGTTCATGAAATACTTTGCTAACAGACAACCACGGTTGACTCCAACATTTGATGTCAAATTTTAAACAAAAGCTTGCGCAATAATCAACACTTGGAGCTATGAGTCATGAACGTTTCCCAGCTGCTACTACAACAAATTTTAGCACCAAATCTGTAAAGTGAATTGAATTATAACCATTTTTGTGTTTTCTAATATCAGTAAGCTGATGCAGCCATCTTAAATCAGATTGACTCCAAATGGTTAACAGTTGTAGWTGTAAACCCAATGATTATATTCTGCAAATTTAATTAAAATTCATCCATTGGTTTCTGAGATATTTTGCTAACAGATACACACAAACACATTAACACCTGCTTCTTTCCTTTTCACCGTGGGCAACAAATAATAAAAAAAGAGTTTTTACCTTTTGTTCTCCTTCCACAGACCAGACGTAATGACTGGACGATCCTCGGCGGGCCCTGGCCTGCAGGAGCCACGATGACGACTGTGAGGCTCGTCGAGGACTTCTACTGATTMAAGTTTTAATGAAAAGAATTGAAGCAAACTTTGTGTGACAGAAACATAATAATATATAAAAAAAGAAACAGGAGCTCACCCGTCTTTTCACAAAACAACCAGTGGAAGCCACGGTRAGGACAATGAAGAGGTGTGTTTCCTGCAGGGAGTAGTGGCAGTGTTCTGCGATGGAAGTGAGTCGGTAATATCCACGGTCATCATCTGGGCAACACAAACATGTAAACATAAAACACACTTTAAAGCTCTGAGGCGTTTCCTCCACCCTGTCCTGACTCACCTTGAACATAGATGGTGGATGGAAAGTTGTAAAAGGGTTGTTTTGGGATGTAAACAGACATGAAGTCATCYTGGCAGATCAGTGTGTGACCACCAGCAGTGGTGCGAGGGGATGCACGGTGTGTTGAGCCACAGTTTGGACAAAGCAGTGACAGACAAATGAAGGCAATTAAAAGAAAGACTGGAATWTGGGTCTTCATTCTTTTTGTTGTTGTTGTTGCTGATTCTGAGAGACAGGCAGAGCAGGTGCTTCTCGTTTGCTTTAATTAGCTTCAGGAGAGAAATGCAGCCTCAGTGAAAGTGGTGGCTGCACTAACAGACTTCATGAAATGAAAATAAGATTAGATTTTATAGAAATATTATGAAGGAATTCTAAATCTGAAAGTACTCTAGTGGTTCCCAAACTTTTTATCTTCTGACCCACAACCTATTCATGGCAAAAACTTGTGACCCCAAATATTAGTGGTCTGAGTACACGAACTGTTAATAACCCTAAAAACACAGGATTTCTGACAATCTAAACAGCTTATACACAAACATAAATACTTATTTATACTTATTTTGCATTTTTGCAACAATGATACGGAAAATATTACACCAGCAATTATTTTATTACCCTTTAAATTGATTTCTGGAGATTATCCAAGGTGCTTCATGACCCAGAATTGGGTCCCAAGCCCAACTTTGGGAAC